CCGCTGACGGGCACAGGCGACGCTGTGCATTGTGTGAGGGGCGAGAGGTAGTCGTTTGCAGCTGTCTCGTTCCTGCGCAGCTCTGTCAGGCTGCGGAGGTATCGACTCGGTCTTAGGTCTGAGATTGGAGCAACATCACGTCCCTGTAAAGGCACAGACTGAAAGCCCAACCTCATGGCGTGTTTTTCTCTGTCCTTAGCTGTCATTATTTGCAAGTGTTTTGTCTGACAAAAGCCTTATTGTGCTGACGAAGGAATAAATGGAAGAGGCTACAGCTCACAGTGTTCCACTGACAACCAATTCTGGCTAAAGTCAGAAGATAGAAGCAAGATTATAGCTATTTTGCCTTCTAAAGTTGTTGACCGATTTTAATTAAACTATAGGTCAGAAGTGTGTCCTCAAGATAATGTGAGAAATTGTGTGTGGGAAGTAATTTGTTAAAGCATTGGGGTATGGAAGCGTGGCTAAGGTCTTGAAATAAGTTTCATAAGATGTGGTGCTTTGGAACATAACAGGATGAGAATTTTACAAAAATCAGTAAAACCCTAATTGGTAATGGGGTACAGTGGAAAGCAAAAGAATTTGCATTGTATATAGAAAAGAAAAGGGGGGGAATTGAGATGGAGATAGTAACTTCTAGGGTATTTGTGAAGGCAGTAAATTTGTAAGGGCTTGGAAGATTTGTACATTCACAGCTAGAGGTAAATCTAGAAGACAGGAAGGAGTGTGCCTCAAAGCTAAGAGAAAGGGAACATTTGAAGATAAGGAACTAATGAGCTGACACAGCTGAAAAAAAACCCGACTTAAATCACTATTTACATAGAGACCATAAAGGTGAAAAGTTCACAGTGATGAAGACAATAAGCCTTCATCCCTACGACCCTCAACGACCACCCCAGGATTCTAGTGCGCATGCGACAATAGGCGGAAACTTATGCTAAAGATTTCCCTGGAAAACTGTTGAATATGTAAATAACTTCGTAAAAATGTGTGGCTATGATAATGAATGTTACTATAAATAAACCTCAACCTATTAGCAGGTGTGCTTTCAGGCATCCCACTTCCTGAATGCACCCAGCATGCTGCTAATAAACCTTTGCTTCACAGAATTTATCCGTCTCTAAAATTGCATTTTGTGAGCATGTTTCTCACAATAATATTTGAATAAATAAGTTAGGATTTGGCTACTAGAGATCATAGGTGTGGTATGATAAACCTGAAGTCAAGAATGGGCTAAAATGCTTGCACTTTGAAGAATCAAGAGTTCAGAAGAATGAGCCAAATCAAGATTTGATTCCTTCTTTGGGAAAATCATAGAATCATTTTGGTTGGAAAAGA